CTGTCTTCCAGCGGTACATCTCCATTAACACATTCACGCCGATGGCCGCCCATATGGGCTGCCAACAACATGCGCTCCTGGGACGATGGCAGCCCATATGGGCTGCCAACTGATAATCGCTTGCCAGGCGCTAGGAATGGACAGATAGGTGGGCAAACCTCGTAATCGAGTGTAAAATGCTTTTAAATTCCTCACGGGGAACTGAATAAGTTGGTGAGAAGATCTCGGAGATTTTGAATCGCTCGCCAGTCTGGGCGCAATATCGGGATCAGCGCCACGATCTGTTTTTGCCAGCTCCACGGACTCAAGCAATCACCGGTTGGTTTGAAAGGCTCTCCGTGGTATTTTCGATTTTATTGGGAAAAAATCTTTAACTGAATTGCAAATAAAAGCTTACTGCATTCAGTCGGAAAATCTTTGCTGGTAATTTCTTCCCAACAAGATGTTATTCATTATGTTCACGATAAAAGCAGCCCTTGAGAAATCAAGGTAAAAGTGGTTATTCGTGCAAGGGAAAAAAGCAATAAAACGGTCTCTTCCGACCCTCTTCGCCCGTTGATTTCCGCATTGATGCGTGTATCATCGGTGCTTCCCTCATCAGCGCCAACGCCGTGCTGAACGGCTAAAGCCAAATAGCGAAGGGTTACCATCGCATCGCGGAGCGTGCAGCGGAGCAAGCGGTACGCGTATGGGCCTGCTCGGCCGCTGGAGAATACTCTTCACTGCGAACTGCGCATCGTTATACGCCCTGAGAAGGCCCGCTTGCCTTTCCACTGAGTACATTGCCCTTCTTCCACCTCCGATCTTATCGTGGTATCCTCCGTTAACACATTGCACTAGCTCTATGTGACCTCTCGTTCATTACGAAAGAGTTTCTTTTATTGAGGCCAGTTTCAGCTCTGTATGGTAGCGCTCTTTTCGCAGGACCTTGGAGATGGGGCTACTCATAATTTTCGAATATTTTCATTCAAGGTCGATTTTTTTCTCTACATTGTCGGTTCTGATGAATATTTAAAAACGTCCAAGATTAGGTAATTTTACTAGTTAACCTTTCTACTTCCTCCCCCAACTAGGTCTTTGATTACGCCGCCGTGATGCGAAGGCGACCGCTAGAATTTTGCTTGGGCTTGAAGGCAGTGAACACGATCGCTGGAAGGTGGAGCGGTTTTGATGACGTTATCGGACTTCATTGGTGTGCTATGCTTTTCAGCGCGCTGGGGTTTCGGTCGGGGCCACCAATCATGTTCAAGGACTTCACCAAAATCGCTCCACTCTCCAGCAGTTGTGTTCACTACCTTATTGGGCTTTATTAGGTTATTTACAGTTAAGTTTTTTTTTCACTAAAAGAATTGCCTGAATTCAAAAATGGTCTAAGCATATTGCTTGTCACAGATGTTTGGTCCTGAAACCATATCGCGCGGTGAAACTTTGGTGTCATATATCAATGAATGTTTACTGTTTCCAGGCACATCTACGGGTGTCGCTGGATACCTCACGGAGGGAATGTTCAGTCCACCACCGCTGCACACTCAACCTCCGCCGATGGAGAAGAGTGGCTTTTAAATAGAAAAGCTTCTGAACTCGTATTGAAACGATAGTCCATTCGAAGCCATTGTGGGAGTTGTGCTCATGTCAACTCACGTTGTCCTTCGCCAAATCACTTGCCGTATGTCCATAATCGGTGACTGTTTTCCTCTTTCAGTCTGTGCTATGTGAATTGCCTGTATATATCATATAGTAAGTGCTTCCACACATTTTCTTGAAAATCGAGTATTCACGAGTGTCTTCCGGCGATTGAATGTGATACTGTTGAGCTGTTAAATAATATTTATATTTCTAATTCATAATTACCTTTTTGACTACTTTAGGGAAATTGCTCCATTTATTTGCCCATTTTGTTTAGATTCTTATAAAAGTCCTCGTTTTCTCTCGCTAACGAGTACCAACTAGCAATGTTAATGCAATAACTTTTGTAGTTGTTCACATTTTGCCAACGATTTTTCACAATTTGTACATTTATCTATGCACAATAAATTGAATTTTTGATTTTTCAAGTTTTTTTTTCGTTCTAAACACCAACTCTAATATCATCGGAGGCCTGATGTCCGGGAGGGTAAATGTGGGTTGTTGGCTTTCTGGTGCGTTTGGGGGGGGGGGGGGGGTCAGAACGCTAAACTAATTGTAAGCATCCATTGGACCTGGCAAACTTTGATACTTACTGGGCTACCTTATAGCACGCTTTTAACGAATACACATGGTGGGGAAGGCTGACATTCCTGCGAACTTCATAACATCGGGCATCAGTCCACATTTATACCTTGAAGGAATCCTTCGCGGAAAATTCTTGCATTCTTTCTTAACATGAATGTGTCAGTTGTGATCACTGGAAACAGCACACAAAGTTTCACGCATGAAGATTCGGTTTCTGAGAAGAAACAAACGTACAAAAACTACACTCTATGGACAATCGAAGGTAAAAGGGGCGGGGCATGGAAAGAAGTCGGCCTTTGGCCGGCTACGGGACGCAATGAAGAATCGGGTTAAAGCGCGCGATTTCGGAGAGTGGAGACAAATCGATCGATAGAATAGGATGGAGTAGAAGTGTGAGATGTGAATGCAATAAGTCAAAAGGCCAGAAAGAGTTTCTAGTGAAGGCACTCCAAGAACCAAGTGGAAGCATCCCCGTCGCCAGCATTTGTGAAAGACGTCCGTGGGCACTTTGAACGCGTAGCAGCCCTTTCGATTTTTCGAATTTTTTTCCAAAACAAAGCAATATTTCTGTTCTTTTCATTCTTATCGTGGATAATGAGTCTCAAGCCAGTGATTTATGGCTGAAATAGAATCATGATTTTTCCGTGCAAGATTCCTTTAAGGGAATCGTTCACGGGGAAATCATGACTATCTCACCCATAAGGACGGGCTTGGACCCCCCGTTCGCGATAATAACTAAACGAACAAAAAATTGCCCCTGTATTGATGAACAATTCAAAAAACCGTAAGGGCTGCTACGTAATCAAATTCCCGCTGTACATCTGTCACGAATGTTGGCGATGGGGACGATTCCATTCTTGTTAGTTCCGTGCCTTCACTAGGATTTCTTTTTTGGCCTTTCCCACCTATGAGAATAACACCACTTTTCTTCTGCTTCCTATTCTATCGATCGTTTTGTCTATATCCCTAAACCCGAACGCTCTAACCCGATTCCTGCAATGCGTCACCTGGTACGTGGTCGCCTTCTTCCCTTGCGTTCCCTTGTTTCGCTCGACCTACCCATGACCGTCCGCAGAGTTGGTTTTCGTAGTTTTGTATCTCTCCAGAAACTGAATGTTGTTGCGCGAAACTTTGTACGTTGTCTCTAGTGATCACAACTGACGTATTTATGTTGGGAAAGAATGCAAGAATTCCCGAATGGATTAAGTCTTTCCCAGGCGCTGAAAAGATGAAGCAGTCGAAGTGTCAGCCTGAATAAGGTTGATTTCAATTTCTTGTTTATGGATGCTTAGTTACTACACTAAGCGAATAAAGAATCTCCGGTAAGAATTCCACTTATTAAACTACGAAGGACGATTAAGCCTTCTACTGGTCAACCGGCCATTTCAAATTTTTGTTTTTTATTCCATATCTCTACATCAAATACACTTCATTGGTTCTGGTGAGTTGCGCCAGTCCATCGTACAGAAGCCACAGCTTTGTCGGCACACTCGGAAAGCAAGGCGAAAATGTTCCGAGTTACAGGACCATCTGAAAAACATCTGGTTTTTATGAATACGCACGGAAACAGCGACCAGAAGGACTGCAAGAGAACAATTTTCTGATGGTGGTGATGATCTCTCACCTTTTCGCGCTCCAGGTATCGGCGTTTGAAATGGAATCGACTACAGTAAGATTTGCTCATCCGATCGAAGCAGATCGATGTGTCATTCTTTGTGTTGAAAAATCTGAAAACAGGCTCGTTAGAAGGTTTTCCCAGGTGGTCTCGCGGTGATTCAATTGGCGGTTCCCCCTTCCCTTTCATTTAAGCGCAATACTGTTTGCCGGTGGACGAGCGAAATCGTATGCCATAAAATCCAGCATCAGCGCATCCACAAGTTTGGTAAACGATTCGGACGTTTTTACTATGAAAACGGTAGGACATCTGGTGGATCATTCACTCGAAGCCTTCCCCCCCACCCCTCCACGCAAGCTCCGGGTAGGCTCCTCTACTGCAGTCAAAAGGGCAGGTCCGAGAGGCGAAACGAATGCAGTGGAGACAAAGGTCCACCTACAACTAACATTTTTTGATGGTTCCATTTTTCTCTTGATAGCGAGGTACATGTCTACCACGTCATGCTAACCATATTGGATAGTGAACCTATCTGTCAGAATCTCAAAGAATTGGTGCGCATGACCCGCCCGACCGACCATAAACGCATACCGAGGTGCTCATGGAGTGCACGTGCACGGAACAGGTGAGCAATCCAGGAGGACAGTCCGAAATGCAGAAAGTATACCCCTTTTATGTCTGTATTATTAACGCTTGAATTGCCATTGAACCGCACTTGGCCAGCAACAAGGGGATCCTGCGCCTCACGAAAAACCAGAACACCATAAGTTCAGGAACATAGATCGACATACCTTAGCCTCTTGGCGTTAGGCGTTAGCACAAGCGGCATTGGGTCACGCTATACCCACCCTACGTTACTAAAACTACCTTGTTTGAGTAATCCTTACTGTGTCGTCCAGGAGCGCCTCCACGATACCCCTTTTTTTTTGGCGCTCTGGTGACACCTAGCCGCGTTCGATAGGACATAGACGCCCTTCCTGACATTGAACTTAATCGACCTTGTCTTCGGAGCCACAGAATATTATTTCTGAATGTGGCACAATTTTGAACAAAATGCTATTTTTCTTGTTGATTTCGTGATTCGAAAATTGGTTTGTGATGAATTTTAACATAGATGGGTAGGTCACTGTAACAATTTCGTCTTGGTTGTTGTCATTGATAGCGGTCAGAATGGGAAAAAACCCGAAGGCTTGCCACGCAGTCGCGACGTTGAATTTGTTCAAACACCAAGCACCATCATTTCTGGGTTTCTTCTTGGAAAAGAGAAAAGAAAAGAAGCCAGAAAACTCACTCAGCACCTCGTTCTCGATAATTCACAGTGATGTCGTTGCATGCCTTGCAGCATAACACAAGCGAAAAATCTGGTTCAGTATTGCACCTGAAAAAATTTCTGCCGTTATCATGGAATATCAAGAGTCTGATTTCCTTGAAGATTTTTCTAGAACATCTTGGTATAGATTGCTTTTGGCGACAAGTTATGGAGAGGGCATTTAAAACTGCTAAGAATCTAGAAACATATTTCCTGTTGAATGAGTCGAATCACTTGTACCACAGCGCCATTCTCATTGCCACACATTTCCCTCCCTATCGTCTTCTACATTTTTTTGATACGGTGAGGAGGTGTGGTAGTGAAAAGGAGCAGTCGTGTAGGAAACACGCCCACCCGAGGAACGAAGAGTTGGGCGTCACGCAAAATATCCGGGAACTGAGCTCAGGAGCGGGCAGAAACTTTGGGAAAAATTTTATTACATCCAGCGCTTTGGATGTTCTCCTCCCCGCCTAAGGCCAGGTCCCGATTTTAACAAAAAAGCAATATTTCACGCGCTTCTAAATGCATTGCCATCACATACCCCCCCTATTTGCTTGCGCCGAAAAATGTTAAGGTTTTCTATTATTGATTCTTTTTA